GCGACAGAATAATTTATAACGTAAGCTAACTCAGGAAGCTTTGATATTTACGTCTCTTCAGAACAATTACTTGCAAAGCCGAAGCTCTCCGAAATGAAATTACTTGTAATCCAATCAGTTTAAAATATTTGGAGACTCGTTTCGTTTACAGTAAAAAATCGATACCTAGTTAATTTTAACGGCTCAAATATATTTTCATGAGTTTTTATGGAAAGAATTCTGATCGACGTCGTATGCGATTATTTCTAAACCGGAAAAACAATTGTGATCGAGCGACTTTTGGGTAGTGTTTATATCTGACCTCGCATTTTAGGTAATGCTTTGGTATTAAATACCACCTGTATCGGTTCGAAATATCACGCTAAAAGTGCTAAAAATTTTCTCTTGTCGATAACTGCCTTAGGAAGCTTTTCCCTCACTTAGGTATCGCTTGAATCATTTTGTAGACGGGCAAAATCCTAAATCCCTAGCAGCTTCCGTTCTTCGTTATTGAATCTAATGAATACCTATCTTATCACATCACCAAGAAAAAGGAGAGAATTCTTATTACAAGACCCCTGCAGAAATTGATCACACAATTCGGGATAACTGGATTATTTTTATCGGTCCTATATTTGTACATAAAAGAGTAGTTTGTTCAGAAATACTAAATGAAAGTTTAATTTAATTAACGAACAAGAATATCCAAACATCCACACTAATGAAAAGCCTTCATTACGTTCGAGCAGTATAATTACCATAAAACGTGCCATACTTAATCAAAAGTTCATATTCCATAAATACCTAAGCAAGAGACTCCATCATATTTAAAATTTAAAGCACGTTCCAGGTATGTACATGACCGTTTTAGTTCGGAGTCTAAGAAAACCAATCTTTGGCATCTTCATAGGTTGAAATGAGGAACAGTTGCTAAATGCTAAGTTTAATTTGTATCTAATCCGTTTCATACGAATGTAATAAAAGTCAAATTTGTATTTTTCCACTCAAATTATTATTAGTATTAAAACATTCGATCCGTTTTGCTATCATACTGTGTTGGAAAACTATTTCACATTGTATTCCGAAGTAGGTCTCGAACTTTCCTATTTCAAGTTTACCTTGTTTAGTAAGTACATAATCGTCAGATTTATGCAACAAGTATACCAATTTATCGGTTCGTTTAACTTCCAAGTTCATAGGGCCTATAAATACGAATTATTTTATTATTTTATTTTGAAGGTAAGAATTTCCCAATCAGATACTTTTAAAAGCAACCCTTTTCAAGTTGAAATTTATATTGAATGCCTCTGTTTTTAAAGTAGAGAAGTTATAACTTATTATCTAGTTTTAGAATAATGGGCCGTATGAATAAAAGTAAGCAAATGCTTATACTTGCAAAATTCAAAGTAAATACTCGTAACTGCCCCTTCATACTGGTCTGTTTAGCATGGTTTAGCAGCGCTGTACTGCGTCCTTTCCTTCTGCTTAGAAGCGCTGCTAAGTCGCCCAGTGCGAAGGAGCACTTACGAGTATTTACTTTGAATTTTGCAAGTCTAAGCATTTGCTTACTTTTATTCATACGGCCCATTGTCTGATTGCCTTACCCCTCGATCACGTTTTCAATTTTACAGATGGTAGAACCCTAAGACAACCTTTTTCAACAATTGTGCCGATGATTCTTGCAAATCGACGAATTGTGGATTTTTTTTCAAAATCCGAAGATTTTTCTTACCAAATGGAATAATTTCCAAAATACGACAAGAATACTCTGGGAATCGCCCGGGGTGAAAGACAAATCATCGTTTTGTAATAGTATATTACGCACCGAGTGCGAAAGTAGGTTATTTTTCGAAGAATTTTAATCACCCGAGGCGCGCAGCGCCGAGGGTGATTATATTCTGAGAAAAATAACCTTTCGTCGAGGTTCGTATACGATTTTATTCACGATCATCATTATAATCATTCCATTATCAAAAATAAAATAATTCACTAAATTTATACGTAGTATATTCATCTTATGCGCCATCTGCAATATTATTGCCCTACATAAAATGTTGTCGGTAATACAGATTTGGAAATTTACCTAATTAATATTCATATTAATTTAACATGCATGTTAAAATATGGCCCATACTAAAGAATTTCAATGTACATTCCCTCAAATAAGGGAAATTGAGTGTAGTAAAAAATTTACTCCCCGAATGAATTTTTGAAGAGAATGAACAATGGTGGGCAGGAAAGGGTATAGGTAAAACTTAATGTTTTACTTGCTTATTTTAATCAGGTAAAGGTAAAGAAATCATCCACATTATGAACGACCAAATAATGTTGTGATCCACATTCAAACCTAATGCCTAATGACCATGTCAGTTTTATTATTCTAAAATGTACCTACAGCGATCTTTTATGATTACAGATTTAGACTGGGTTACAATATTAGTATTATAATCTGTGTAGATGTCAATAACGAAAGATTTATTCTCCAGATTTTATTTTTATTTTTTTTTATTTTATTATACCTCTCTTGTTTTGGGCCCTCAACAGGCATGCGCCCAATTACAGAGTGACCCGCATAATGCTATTTAGAGGTGCCTCTGCAGAAGGATCCAGATCCAGATCCAATCAGGTAGTCACTAAACACCTGTTCCAATACGATAGCCCTAAAAAATAGCATTATCTATTTCTAAAACGTGACAAATTACCTACATTTAATTACCGGACATTGTTTTTGGCATCTCACCGCTACAATATTAGCAAGTGCTGGTGGAGTTCTTCAACTTAAAACAGTTCGGTGGCTGTAGATCGGCTGCAGTAGCAGAAGGTTTCGTCGCCCATTCAGTGGCTCATTCGCTTTACGGGCACGCGAAAATAACAAAGTATGGCAGTATCCTCTTCAGGTAGTGCTATGACGTCTCCGATATGCAACATTATGATGCCATAAATTGCCATCCCTTGCTCTTCTCATGGGTCGCAAGCGCAACTCAATGTTTCCATGTCTTATGGACAAGAATTGAACTTTTCCATAATAAACTCAAGTTTTATACACTTACCGATCCTTCAATAATTAACGGTTTTTGCTTTTGTTTTTGCTTAACCATTTAGCACCGCACTCGTTTAGTTTTAGGTTACGTGAAACAAACCATCATCTCCGTAACCTGGCTAAAGTTAATCACAACTCCTACTTGTGTTTACTTCAGTCCGCATTTACTTATTTCACATTTTCGCGTTTGGTCGTTCATTTGCAATTTACAAAAAAAAGCACAGGCTTAAAATAATCCATATTACTCATTATAAGAATAATAATTGTTTTTAAAATGCGGTTTTGAACAATTTGCATCTAAATCAGCTGTCATCTGTGTCAGACAGTTACGATGAGAGCGCCATCCATTAGGATATTAGCAACTAAATCGAGGTAGGTAATGAATATTACTAACCTCGAATCGAACATTACTAACCTCGAGAATCTACTTTCCTCCCTCCTGGAAAAATAAGTGTTGTAAAACACAACTTCCTTATCCTTCAAAATGACAATTATGAGACTGATTACAATATGATCGTGAATAAATTTGTTTATTTAATTAATCAATGACTATGATACCTACGGTGATCGGGTTTGTCATATTGTTTTGTCATCACAAGAAGTGACCAAATACGGATTTTCAAAAAGATTGGATGAATTTTACAAATAGATTGTTAATTTTCGGGATTCCTTTTTTTATATTTTTCCGTAAAACACAATAACATTTGAAAATGAAGGTTCAATACCATACTTTTTTTTTCATTTTTTTGCATAGAGCAATAGTTAACGAGAAGTCAAATGCGAAAAAAAATGATATTTTCCCATTTTTTCTTCATTTTTTGTTTATAGCGATATGTTCCGGCAGTCTCCGGCTAGGGGGACTATCCTGGGGACTATAATTTTCAGATTCAGCGGATATTTTTACATAGAATACCTACACTTGGTTTCCTTGAGTGAAGTGACAACATCCAGTTTAGACTACTTTTGGAGCTGACTTGACTGGACTATAGCCATTTGCACGAGTGTACACCTATTTTACTTCCTAGTTCATTTGAATGGTAAAATTGAAGAATAAATAAAGAAATTCCTGTGACTTTGGGACTAATTTGGTTAAATTTGGGTAGGGTTTAAGGAGATAACAAATTTACTTATCCTTCCAAAATGAGACGGTCTGCTACAAATTGTAAACCTGGCATTTATTAACGATCCTCGAGATCATTTATAATTTTATATTTCTGTCCGTCTGTCTGTCTGTTCCGTCCCTGTGCACGATCACTTTGTTTAAAAACGTCAGATCGCTTTGAAATTCGTGCACATGTCTTAAGGATATAACAAAGGTTGCGATTGATTTTCAACTATGTAGACTACCGGGCCAAAAAGTTGCAGCTCAAAAACGATCTCGAGGTATTCAGTTGTATCGTATTTGTTGTCTGTTTTGTCTGTTTAACGTTAAAACAACAATGAAGACTGAAACCACTGCATGTTACATGTTAACAATAGCGTAAAGATATTTTTTGAATTTCCAAAATATATTCCCCTATTGTGCAAACAGTAATATAGGATAATGCTTATGAGTTCTAAGCGATCTTTTCCTTTATACAATATTCCATCTTTCAACTCTCACCACTTAAATCGATACATTATGAACGAAAGCCCTAAATACATAACGCATGGAAGAAGCATATTTACATATTTGTTGCAGTTATGTGCACGTTTTCACAGACAAACGTGATCGTTTTAACCAATGCAAACTGTTTGCATACCTATGAAGGTAATTTAGCGTATTGCACACTATAATTAGATATGGTGAAAGTGCAAGGAAACACTAAAACACGTAATGTAGAATGAAAATGAAACACTTGGGAGAATCGCATATATATATATATATATATATATATATATACATCCTATATAATATTAGATACTAATGTAATGGGATATTGGATATATATGCATGCTTCCCTCGATTTCCATGATCCAAAGTATAAAAAGGAAAACTTACCTAGCAACGGATTCGCTGTAGACGAAGCCAGCTGCAGCTCTGCGTACAACTTCGTAACACAAATCGGATCCATCCATACTAAAACAAGTTTTAGAGTTATAATGCGGAAATATAGTACTAGGTACATAAAACGAGAAACAGTGAAATTACGATTGCAAGTTCTACAGCAACATTTCATTTCTTACAAAAGCCATCGCAGCCTAATTCTTCGCCTACGACGGATTTTAGATTATCTTTCAAAGCGCAGCAATTGGAAGCCTCTAAAGGAACTAGAGCAATTTATGTCTCCCGTCTTTTTAAGAAAAATGCTGTTATAGCTTCCTTCAGATACGGATATCAATTTCCATTCATAAAGGAAACTGGAAAAGTATCGTAGATCTATTTACAATTTGATTAGTGGCTACTAACATTTTAGGGATTAGGTAAAGGGTCCTACAGAGGAACGTTTTTGTACGCGTACGTGCATTCAAAAATGCCCATAAAAAATGTGTATGCACAAAAACGATGTGCGTTTTTGAATGCACAAAAACGTCCGTCTGTAGCAGACACAATTATTGTAGACCGAAGAGATTGGTGTTAGTTATATATTTTACAAGAAATCGCACATCACAAGTGCATCAAAATTGCCGATAATTTTTTTAAATCATGTTCTCTAAAAAGTGCCTGAGTTTGTTTTCATACTTTGGCCAAAGAGCCCGACACCCAAGGTGGCACATTTTTAATATACAAAAAAGATTATTATTATCACTAAAAACCGCACGGTAAAAAGTAAAATTCGTAGGCGTAAAGTTGTAAAGCTATAAATAAAAAGAGACTTCATTTTAATACGAAATTAGAAGTGTTGATAGACGTATTTCTTAAAGTTTGAATGTAAAATTCGGATTAATAGATCTTAAAGGATTCAATCAATTTTGATATTTTTGTACTTTCAATTTATTTTAAGTTGAATAGCCTATTTAATTTGATTTCATTTTGTTTGGAAGTTTAGATCTGATTCCGTAATTTCAATATAGCAATTTAAACCAAATTAGCAACAACCCTTTCTTATGTAATAGCCCATTACAGTACATTACACCCTTAACTTTAACGATTTCGCTGTTGTAACCTTCTTTTCGATTTTTTCTTCTAAGAAACTAAATCGCACCGGTTAAATTCTGAATTGAGGCACAGGCTAAGATCTCTTCCACTTTCACATAATTTTTGTAGGTACTTGATCGAAAAAACTTTGGGCAAAAGCCATATTTTTTTTTAATTTCAAAAGCCACCCCTCCTCCCCTCCGCAAACAAAATATAACTCTGGATAGCCAAAACTAATGTTCGAAATGTCTATAACGAAGTTACTTATTTTCATCCTTGAAGTTCATACAAGAAGTTATGACCACACCGTATATTTTTCGCATCAACCAGCGTTGCTGAACACCCGGTATCTAGAAGCGTTTTAAATTGGGCGCTTAATTACTAAAAAACCGTAGTTTCTTAATTTACTTATTAACGAGTGACAATAAGCGAGTTTATGATTTTGGACTTTCTGTCCGTCCGTCTGTGAACACGATAACTCACTACCGGTTTCGAATTTTCCAATTCTGTTTTTAGCAATAGGTAGAAAATGGTCCAGGGAGTAATTGATTAAATTTTGGTCAATATTCGTCAACCGGAAGTGACTTTGTCGCTCTTTGTCTATAGTGGTGCAGTTTATTTACTGTAGGAGACGAGGAGTGAGCGTTGTGTGTTTTTATTTTGTTTAATCGTTTGTCTTGCCACCGATAACGCACGTAAGTTTCGTAGTGAATTTATTGCTTTTGAAACCGTTCCTGTAGGAATAATTAAATTGTTTTTACAACCGCCGAAAGTTCTCTTGCCAGGAAAGAAGAGAGAGAATCAATCTTATTAAGTTTTAGCTCTGTTACTTAATATTATCGATTAATGGATTTTAGTTTTCTAATGGTATTCAAAAATCCAGGATTTAAACCAGCAAGGTCGTGCAGTTTAAGAATAGATAATATCAACGTGAGCCAATTGCGCCGTTTGACCTCACATTCCAAGGACTGCCGAATTTGGTGATTTCATTCCGACTACTTGGATAAATAATTAAGCGTAATTAGGTGAATGGGTTACAGAGAACAACGTCCGATTAAGTTAAGTGTTCTTAAAAAACTTGAAATCTGACATCGGTCCCATATTTTTCCGATGTCAGGGGAAAGACGTAGTCAATTAAAAATAGTTCAATTTGTTTTAACGTATCGAAGGTATAAGCGTACGAGATGGGAATTCCAGTTTGTCCCTACTGAAATGGACGTTTTGCTAATCAACAGAAGGGGAGAGAGGGTTAAATTCATTCGCATCGGATTTTTCTGAGAAGCCACGTCACAAGCCCTTAGAGAAATATTCTCGATTTTTGCAAAATAAAAATTAAATGTGCGAGTTCGTTACCCAGAGAGCGGGCAATTTGTTGCCATTTAAAGTTAGTTGGGTTTTTGTTTCGGAGGATGAAAAAATTATGCGATATTCTGTTGTGAGTTTAACAATTGTTTAAATAAAAAATTTCGAAAGCAGAACTAAAAGTAAAACTATAGTTGAAAACGGACTTTTACGGCAAGTTATTGATGTGAAATAAAAAACTTTAGCGTAAAAGGGGTTAAGCAAAATAATATACTGAACTAGAAGTTAGAAATCGCATAAACAGAAATTTCCCACTCTAAATACAGACTCCTTTCATTTAGAAAACGTAACCAACCAACAAAAGTGTAGACGACAATAATTTATGCCCGTCGTTTGGGAATTCGACGTATGCGAAAAATGCAACACGAACTGAATTACCCATGGTAAACTAACTGACCTGCTTTAAAATTATACAGGGTGTTACATACAAGAAAAAAAAATTGGGTGGTAGAGGGGATTAAAACAAGCACTTTTTCCAACTAAACCGAGGATCCAACGTGTTTCGTTTGGGAGCCACCCTCAAAGATGGATGGATTTCTTCTTTAATTGTTTTTCTCAGCAACCATGAGAGTTACTGAGTTACAACGCCGTCTTGAAATAGGTTTTTGGGTATGCCTTTTCCGATTTTACAAAACATTTTTCAAAATTCCTACCACGAGAGGGCACACTTGCCATTCAAGTCTACAAATTCTCCATCGTTTTTTCGCTTATTCAAAATATCGTGAGCCCATTCCTGCCCGCGTTTCTCGTTTTCTTGCTGTTCATTATCCATGGAAATTGCAGCTAAATAAGTTTATTTAAACTTTGTCCATCTTACAATAGCGATGTGTCAAGGTAATGATACTCACTAAAATGAAATACTAGTGGAAACAGTATTTAAATACAAATTTAAAAAAATATTTGTTAAAATAACGTAGAATTACACAGGCTTTAATTTAATACCCGGTCCATTAAAATTGGCCCAAGGGTTATTTTTCTGTTAAGCTTCAAACTGGACCGCACATACTTTTTAATCCGACAATAGTATCTCTGGAAATCCTCGCAAGGATTATTTAATTGTTTGAACTTCTAGTGCAGCTTAGCTTTTAATAGTATGCTTCAACTACTTTCTATTTACATCGAGGGATAATATTTCCTTCCTTATGAATAAAAAATTTCGGTTTATTTTGTATGTTCTCCAAGGACCTAAGAAAATTGAAATGGGCTATGTTTCGTGTGGTATACCTACACATTTGATCCTTTATTCATAACGCTCAAGAAACTCATACTACTACCTTGGTTGCATATTTATTACCTAGGATTGAACGTTGACGATAAACGAAAAGCAACTGATGCTTCCTTATTTAAGCTTTAGAAAAAAATATAATTCCCTACCTGCCTCGCTACCTACAAATTTTTATTCTAAAGTATACTGTGCCTAATAAAAATATATTTCTCAAATTTGAGAGCTTTTGTCGGCAATGATCAACTAAAATTTTTATTTCAAACGAACGGTTCACACGTATTCGTTTTCATGTTTTATGGCGTCGTTTTCTGAAATTATATTTTATTTCTGTTCTAAGAGAAAAAAATTTCATTAAAGCAGATCCCCCACATTATTAAATCCTTTGAACGGTATCTTAAAATTTTCGTAATAACGTAGTATAAAAAATTTAATTTACAAATTGCATTTTTCGTACTTAGCACTTTTATTAAAGCCTGCATCTTTAGATATTCCACAATGATTGTATACTGATTACTGCGAGGTTTAGGCACAGATTATCTGTTTTACCGTATGTTCGCGACACTTAATTATGTCACATTATACGTGAACCGTAAGTAAATTGCTTCATACATCACAGAAATTTACGTGTTTATACCACATTCGTGCGCAACAATTTATCTTTAGAATTAATTTTGAATTAACTTACTATTCGAAAACCATGTACAGCATCCCTTCCGAAGAATAAGTTTCAAGCAGCTCGACAATATGTGGATGTTTCAGCATGTGGCAGATTGTGGCTTCGCGTTTCAAATCTGCAAATAAAGAAACAATGTAATCGATATGTTATATGGTAAAATGTGACATAATAATATATCATAAATGGGTTACATCATTAAATTTAGATTATACTGAAAGTGTTCACCAGTCATTTTTAATGGTTTAGGGTCTTAAAACCCGCAATAATTGTGCCAATTAGCATCGAGAGGTTTCTCAACATTTTTTTGTTATAATTGAGAGGGATGCGCCTTTATATTCAGGAAACCGGCAATAAAAACTAAAATAGGATCTAGAGCGTATACGAGAGCCCCTTTTTGTGACTAAAATAACGCATTAGAAAATCACCGAAAAACTGAAAATGACAAGTGTCGTTTTCATTTGCCCTATAGCTTAAACGGTGGGAAATGGACGGTTTCAGTTAGCACCTTCTATGGGCACTTTTTTTCGGAGAATATCTGTATTCTTATTTTTTATGGGCGCCATATTGGATTTTTACGAAATGAGATAGAGAACAAAAAAAGAATAATAAAGACACACGTCATACTTTTACATGAATTTCAAAATCAAATGTTTTACATTCATTTCTCAACAAAACGTCCACGAGTAGGTAACTAGATGCCGAAAACCAATGAACGACCAATACGAGAACCAGTGGCGTCGTTTACCATAAAAAACAAAATTGCGCTTGCGCTCTCGCGCAGCAGCCATTTTCCAACAGCCAACCAGAAATTTAAGACCTTGGAGCCAATATAAAGCTATTGAAAAACATCCTAACATTTACAAAACTCATTAAATTTAGTGTTGGTACTACAAGCTACAAGAATTGACATTCACTTACTGCACACCTCAAAGGGGAAATCTACTCCCAAAGTGTAAAAAAATTCATATGGCACTCTTAGAGAAAAGGTTTCAGTTTCTAACATTTATTATGCTATTCGCATTGACACTAAGTATCTCCAGAAAAATTGACTTATTTGCCATCTGATAGGGCGAAATCTACCCCCAAAGGGTACAAAAATTAATCCAACTGATGCTGTAATAATGACCTAAAGTATAAATATACCTTTCACATTTTACGTATTGTGATCGGTAGTGTGAGCATATTGCACACAGAACAATTAGGAAAGGGCCGTTGGTAAACGTATTCCACAGATTTACGGCAAGTGGCCGGTCTGGCCGTCCGAGGCCTTTTAATATATTTATGTCTTACTAACATATATCACATTTTATATCTGTGATATCTTTTTTCTAAGTGAATATGAATTATATTATATACTTTTGGGGTAGATTTCACCCTTTGAAACGTGCAGTAGGTGAATGTCAATTTTTTAAAGGTACTAACGCTCTAAATTCAATTGTTTTTGAAAATGTTAGGATGTGAAATCCTGTTGTGAAAAGTGGTCGCAATTTTTTATTGTTTCATGTTGTTCTTTTTGAATAGCTTTATACATATGGGTCCTAAGGGAGGGATCTACAACGAATTTTAGTTTGGCTGTTGGAAAATGGCTTATAATTAGGAAGCTATTCAGTAGAACAGTAGTTCAGGCATTATAGACTCGAAAGCAGGTCAATAAGGAAAAAAATTTTAATAAGCTAATTTTTGTTTTAAACCCTTAATTTGGATGTAAATAATATGTGGTAGAAAAATAATCCCCCAACTGCAATCGGAACATTTGTTTAAACAAAAGGACAGGTGATTTTTTTATGGTTTGTTGCTATTAACTCCGTAACCACGAGTTTGAGGAAAAAATGGATCAATATGATTTTGTTCCTCATTAAATTTCCTACAAAAAACTTATCCATCTTTTTTTGTTAGGCCACTAGTGTTCTAGATATTGCTTAGAAATGGAAGTTCTCCTTGTTTACTGCAGCGCACAGAACGACTGTGCGTCATATCTCTATGACAAGGGGTTCGCATTCGCAAAATATACGGTGTCAATGTTTCACAAAATGTGTTTTTCTACTTCTCGGAGTGGATTTAGTTCGCGTCAATATCCAGAATAGTGTGGACATCAACAAAAAGGAATGGAAATGCATTCTCATTGAGTAATAATTACTTGAAAAGCAAGAAAAACGTCGGTTTTGATGGGACCCAAAAGAGACCCGTTTTGAGACACCGAAAATAGGAGGGGGGACAGCAGGCCAGATATCATCCGTGTTGCCAGCTGGAGGTATTTTTGATAGGGGGGTTGGCATATTTCAGAGACAATATCTCAGAAACTAGCATCATGAGGGAAAAAATGTGGAATTACTTTTTGTAGGCAATTTAACAAGGTACAAAAAAGAACCGAATATAATAATAATATAATATACCGGCTTTATGGTTCAGTGGTAGATCGTTGGACTATAATCCGGAGGTCGGGTGTTCGAACCTGGGTTGACTGAGGTGAATTTTTCATCTGTGGCAGAGATGTAAATTACCTTACATCAGTTTCGAGAGTTCTGCCGGCTACTCCGAATTCCTGCAGTTATCCTAATTCGCAAGGTAAATTGCAAAGTAGTATAGAACAACTTAAGACCTTCTGCAAAGGCAGCTCTAAAAAGCATTATGAGGGTCACTCTGTAATTGGGCGCAAGCCTGTTGAGGGCCCAGAACAAGAGAGGGATAATAAATAAATAAATAAATAAGAAAGTATAGTAGCCCGTAGTTTCTGCATCTAGCGTGTTATGGAAAATCTGACAATAGATTCAGATTCTCTTTTGCCATAAATTTAAAAAAATAGGCATTAATGTCACCCGGTGTTAAATTACCCTATTTATTTATTTATTTTTTTATTTCTTTATTCATCTATTTATTTATTTTTTAATTAGTTAGTTTGTCTGTTTGTTTATTGGTTCATTCGTTCGTTCGTTTATTTATTTCTCTTGTTCTGGGCTCTCACCAAGCTTTCGCCCAGCCCAATGACAGAGTGGCCCGCATGCTTTTTAAAAGTGCCCTTGCATACGGTCAAGTTGTTCTATAGTACTCCGGTATTTATCTTACGAATTAGGAAAACTGTAGGAAAGCCCCATTCGGAGAAGCCGACAAAATGCTCGAAACTGATCTAAGGAAATTCCCATCTTTGCACAGATGAAAAATTCTTACCTCAGCCCAGGTTCGAACACTCGACCTCCAGCTATGTAGCCCAACGCTCTACTACTGACCTACACAGTCGGTCTGACTTCTTTGACTTATGGGACGCGCCCAGCAGTTCCAAATCAATCTCAGATTCAGCAAATTATCACCAAAGGACCTTTATATGAATGACCTTATCAGAGAGACAGATGATCCCCACAAGCTTATGCGGCGAAGGAACATTGGGTTTTTTATAAGCAGCCAGAGGCAGAAAATTACTCTATTCTGGAAGTCATATCCGCCTAATGCTTGATGCAACTGGATGTGACAGGGGTGAAAAGAGTTGTCGTTCAAAATTATCCATACGGTAACATGTGGTAATCCGTAATTTCGGGAAACTTTTCTGGTAGAGACGTTTGGATCGCTGGCAAACGCAGCTAGGACAGCAGCCCTTTCATCTCTTGCAGGTCTTCTTATCTTTCCACCTCTATTATATTGTGGTTGGACGTTTCCAGTTTCACGCACACGTTTAGCTAAACCTTGGATGACATTACGATTCAGATGCAGCCTTTGGAGATACCTCTGTGCATCTAGGCGACCATCAACACGTTAATTTTGGTGACATTCTCCCAAACCCATTATCATATCAAATGCCCCTTGCTTTCGGTACATTTTTAGCAAAGATACTAACGTTTACTTAAACATTTAATTCTGACAGGTGACTGATAAAATAAGACATTAGACGACTTAAAATGATGCATGCCTACTACGCTTTTCTTTTATTCATTGCGTTAAACTTGCAAATTGTTCATAAACGATAAAAAATACACGAAAACTTTTCAAGCTAAAGTTGGTTCTTGTAAAAAGACCCTTCCAATGACATCCCACTTGACCCCCTTTCCATTTAAAAATACAAAGTTGACACCGGAAATACTCCGGAAACCGAAGATATCAAAATTTGTTTCTCCATATAGCTTTTAGTTCTTGATATTTTCATTTCAACTTCCTTCCGTGTAATACGAGTATATCAGAGAAAAACGACTGACACGGGTGGTCTGAAACACCCTGTATAAGTTGGCGCCGTGTATAATACAAAACTTTATTTTATAGCAAAAGCCATATTAATTTAGACATCAAAAATAGCTAGCATACCTTCAGTGCTGAGGCCTGGGCCGGAAGTAAATTTTCCTACGTCTACAACTTTCACCGCAAATTGTTGTCCAGTTTGGCGATGAATACAACGTTTGACTATACTAAATGGTCCCCTGAAACAAAGAAATATAACAGTTAGTTGGTTGTACCTACTCTTGTAATCCACTAAACAAATTTAGGTGGGTATAAATCAAGAGCCTCCTAAAACTGGACCTCCTATAGGTATACGTAATCTAAACCATAAGTTACATTAGAAGACAATTAGGAGACACAGTGTGCATAAAGGGTACCTATCGATGTAGTAACAAGGGGGTGGACAAAAGGCCGGACATAAAATAAAACGCATGATTGATAGGTAATTAAATATAAACGGGTAAATGCAATGCTTTACGTGGATAAAATTAATTTACTCCAACATTTAATTTGTAATCCCTCTCACCTATTCATTTAAAATACTACACATTACTAAGCGATTACAAGCTCTATTACAATGAGTAGAGACAAGAATTTCTAAATAATATTCGTAACCCAGCAAAGCAAAGGGATAAATTAAGGCAGTGCGTGTGGGGTAATTTAATGTACGCTTCTCCGTCTCGCGTCATTTTTTCGTGCAGCCGCACAAAAACTACAAAAAGTAAAAACTTCTCATCGTGTAAGTATAGCTTCCCTTCAAACAAGTTCGCCAGTTGAACCTATACGAATATCGATTACCTACGCGTGTACCAACTTTGTCGTGTTTAACGAGATTATACAATTTCTCTCGAAAAGTTAAATTAGTTTCCAAAATATCATTAACAATAGACAGCATTTCTTGGCCTTTCTCATCGTGTGTGATAAAATCAACTCGATCAAGATTTTTAGCAGAAATACTGTTAATGAACTAAGAAGCTATTTCAAAAATACATTTTACAGTGTTGTATTACATCTTCCACGTTCCGTTGTTAGTTTTAATTAGAACTGCACTTTGCAATCTTAATAAAAAATCAAAAATTGCAAAAACACGTCTATTTAGACCCCTCATCGAGTGGCACATCATTTTGGTCATAAAATTGTTCACAAAAATACCTAGAAAATCAAATTTGGATGGTCTGGTTATGAATTAATTTTAAAATTCCAAAACAAATACAAAATAAATGAATTTTACCTCAAATTTTACACATTTCACGTTTTGATTGTATAAGTTATTTGATTATATGCTCAAATGGTCTCAACTACTTATAATTTGTCTACTTTCATGTGTTATTCTGTATCTTGGCTCTAGAATATTGTCAGGCCGTGGTAGCCATTTTATGACAGTCCCTCTCCCCCGGAGCCCCATTGTGCTGAAAGTGCAAATTTTCTTCGTTTAGCAATATGTCCCCATTGCCGTCCACTCGATTCTCCAAAAATGGTGTGATCAGAGGATATATCACTTCTTCCAATAGATTCTGATATAATTCCCTTGTTAAATTCCCATCTAGGAATATCGGCACATTAATTTAATTCACACCAAAAATGCCTATCCAAACCCCTATTTATTCATCATAGCACTCTTAAGAATAATTGTTGTTGGTATATTAAATTGAGCAAAGGCTGCGATTAAACATAAATATGAACAACATTTTTATTAGAACATTTCTAATGGCAAATACGCATATTTATTATAACAAAAGGCAACTTCTATAGTGTTGCGTCCCCAAACTAGAATTATTATCCTTTAGTTTTTCCTTCAAAAAACATATCCTAGCACGCCCTGTACAGAAGCTGCCCCTGTATGTATATTTTACCACTTGTTATCTATGTATGGCGCATTAGCCTCCGAAGCTAGAATTGCACGTCGTTTGCACATGCATTCGTCGATCAGCAATTCATTGAACAACAATTCAAGATCAAGATGTGACCGTACAGCCATCAAAAATAATGAACGGGCTTGTTAAAAAGTAACACGTCATTTTCATCGAGTAATTCATACAACGCCAGGAATCGTTCGCTATAATCGCTTTCGTCGAAACAACTACAAGTAAGTCCTTTCGTTCATATTCCTTTCGTAATTAATCCAATTTCTAGTACATGTACCGTATCAATTGTCAACGAGAAAAAGCTATTATTATTTGTATTTTTTAATAATAAACACGTTAAATCATTAGTGTGGATATTTTGTCATCCCTATAGAAAGGCATAGGTAAGCAATTACATTTCGTATACAGTCCATTACATTATAAATCTTAAATTTCTATTTCCTGGAAAAATAAATCCATTAAACGTTTTACTTCAACAGTAATAAATTGTTAGATATTAATTATCGCAGTAGATCACCAAAATGACGTTTCCCAAAAATTATTATTAAGAAGTACCTACTTTATGAAAATGAAATATTGAAAAATGTATTTATTGGTCCAGTTTATACGAGTGCACAGTACAGTTACAGTTGTAATGAGATAAAACAAAATAAAATAAAATAAAATTCACTTATATAGTCCAGTACTGCTACTTTAATACCGTCTATAGAACAATCTGGGATCAATAAATTCATTGTCTCAAGATGGAAACCTGTTCGGGACATTTTTTAAATGTTAAAACATGCAATTTCTGTGGTCCCTGAACTTGGTACCGAATATGGACCCCCACAGGATTTAGACACATATGCTCAAAATGTACATTTTATTTATTCAAAAACATGGTAAATCAACAAAACATTAAAAAAAATTGTTTGCTTCTTGGTACCAGTCCATTGTTCATGTGCCGACAAATGGCATTTCTTCCTCTTCATCCTATCTTCTGCTTCTACAACTTTTCATTGTGCGTCCTGTATTCGTTTTGCGTAAGCTACCGAAACCAGGATTTCTCTTCTCTTTCATTTAAATTTGTATGCTTGACTTTACAATAGACGACTCCAACTCCTGTTTGTATGGGAATAATGTTACATCTGAAATTTATAAGCTTTTCGTCCTCCTGTAGAAACCCTTTTTTCACAGTTGGTACAGGGCTAATTTCAAATCGACTAACAACAATGCCTTCCAGAAATCCATCGAAGATAGGATCTTTATCTTTAGAGATTCCTGGTAAACTTCTGGTTCATCAAAATTTGTGGTTCTGCCTAATGAGCTACAGTTTTTCCTACCTTCAATTTCTACAGCAGGATAGTCATCGTCAGAGTCAGAAAAATGTTTTCATCAAAAGACTCCAATTCAAATTGTGTTAGGCACGGTTTATCTGGCTCGCCCACAGTCCAATTTCTTCACTGTAGTGGGCTTTTAGAATTGAATGAATGGGGAAAAGCGACCCAATAAAAACGTACTCGTACTTCTGCCTTAGAAATCATCAATAATCGCAATATTTGCAAAATAGGGCCCTCACTAGGATAAATCCTAAATCCACTTTTCCTACGTTTAACTAAAGATAACGCCTAAGTTAAGATTTTCAGTAGGGGAATTTTTTGAAACTTGGGAAACACGACTTTTAATCGGGTTCATGTTCAATAGCAAGGTTCCTTGAACTCGTAGAAATCGGTTGGCGAAAGTTCTTCAATTAGAGGAGGAGCAGACGAATAGACAGACGGACAAAACACATAGGGGAATTTCTTTCGAAAAATTCTTTCTGCAGAAAAAATGTAGTACCTGTGCACAAATTGCAATTGGGTCAAAGGGCATGCTGGAACGGAAGGTAATGAGAAAGCCGATAAATTAGCCCGACTGGCCTCAAAACAGGCGTTTTATGGTCCAGAGCCGGCTCTTCCACTTACAGTTAAAACTGTAAACAACCTAATAACTCAAGACACCCAAACCCAGCACAGGGCTAGGTGGAACTTGATGTTAGATTGTCGCCATGCGAGAGAAGCCTTCAGAGGACCATCTCGTAGCTTGGCGCGTTTTTGTACAGGGCTATCAAGGAAGAACCTGAGGTTACTCGTGGGCATACTTTCTGGGCACTGTAAACTAAACAAGCACATGCACTGCATGGGTTTGGTGGAATCACCATCTTGTAGAGGATGTTACACAGACGACGAGACGGCATACCACATACTCTGTGAATGTCCCGCTCTAGTCCAACTGAGACGATCCATGTTGGGGGAATCCTGGCCGGACATGGCTACGATTAGAGCCGCCTCCCCTTCCAGCGTCCTAAGGTTCATCTCACGTGTGGGATGGCTTGAGTGATGTTGAGGGGTCGGGCGACCCTAGTCAGGGAGGTAGTACAAAGGGCCCGAATTTGAGGCCTAAGTACGCGTGGACACTGTTCACCCTCCTATCGTAATCCAGAATCCAGAAATTGCACAGATTTATGTAAGGGATGAGGCGTAGATATTTAACATCAGTCGCATTAATTAAACAATTAGAGCCCAAGCACCGCTCAGTTGGACTAATCCACCTCTGTTACTTTTATTGAAGGCAAAAGTTTCATGTAGCCTCAAATAAGGAAATAAAAAATAAGAGTTTCTAGTTGCTAGCTGAAAGTGTCGCTACTTTTTCCGTTCGTCCGTTACTCGCATACTACTTTTATTGCAAACGGAATCTCGAAGAAATTTTTAACAGCACTAGTTTTTCAACGTGGTTTAATGGAATTCGTTGCTAACAACTTATAGTTTCTAACTTATAGAAATTTGGAGCAAAATAAAAAATTAAACAATTCAGTACATTAAGAAGTAAAAAGTTACAAAAAAGAAGGTAGTCAAAGCACGTCTTTACCTTTCAAATGACGTTTTGGTCACAAAAAACGAATTACCACTTTCGTATTTGTAAGAAAATATGAATGTCCTCCCGAAAAAGTAATCAAACGCCGTCAGAAGCTAACTCAATTCTAGAATATTTCCGTTTACCTGGCCACAAATTTGTTTCCCATTGGAATTTTAACTTCAACGTGCTTAAAAATCGATAGACTACGCTATGTATAAAAATTCCATATGAAAGCGATTTTTTCCTCTCTCCTCAAAAAGCTAGTAAGTAGGTATCGCCCTAATTTAATATATCGGTCGCTTCTAAGCCCGATAGATTCTACAACACTTAATAAATACGCCTTTTGTTCTCAACGGCTGAAATTTTAGATATTGCCAACATTATTCGGGTCATGTTGATTACTGGGGTCTTCATAATGGGCTACCCACTTGGGAATTTAGCAAATTCTCATATGAAACAAA